TGGGGAAGGAAGAAGGATGGGATAGGATGGAAGTATGGGAAGGGGTTGGGATGATGGAGGAGGAAGGGTAACAAAGGTGAGTGGCCCGTCCACTCTAGCAAGTTGTGTAGAGATGCTGCAGGGAGTTGTGTCGATGTGAGGTGTTCTGGTGGCGAGTTGGATTGGGCTTCAGGTTTCAGGCAGGAGACGACTGGAAGGGCAGTGGTGACTGGAAAATTAGGGTCGATTGGAGCCACACCCCAGCTTTAGCTAAATAGCAAAGTGCTGGGGGACTTCAGCTTGTTGGTAGGTGGTGATTAGGCAGTCGAACATTCGTTAGAGCCGCTGCAGACTGTGTTGAATCTTGTTCTTGAGAGGTGCAGTACGTTTATTTTGGAGTCGGAGTATATTTTATTGAGGTGGTAGAGTATGGATTCTAGGGTAGCAGGTGGGTTTTCGTGACAGGTGAACTTTGCAGTGTTGTCCTGGAGTCGTTGGCTGAGCTCTGGGAAGGGCATAACTTTACTGTATTGTTTCGTGGTGTAGAACGTGACTCCATTGTAGGTGGGGTTGGTGGGGAAGGTAGTGTAGATGAGGTAAGTAGGGTAGGAGCTTGGTTGGTAGTGGTGGTGGAGGGAGAGGCTGCAGGAGGGCTCTCATTAGTGGGATTCTGCTGAGGCTCAATGGTCTCTGGTTGGTTGGATTCTTGGGCGGTCGGCGGTGGTGGAGGAGCAGAGGTATGTTAGTAATATTAGCGGTGGACTTTATGATGTCACTTGAAGGTGGAGATGCAGGGAATATGAAGGTGGGCATGTTGTTGAGTTGGAAGAGTTAGTTGATGGTGATGTTGAATGAACCTGGTACTGCAACGTTGTGTACATGAGCATACATGATGCAGTATAGGATTTTGGTGGAGTCAGCCGCGGGCAGTGGTGGAGATGCAGTATTGGTGGAGGAGGCAGCTTGGGTGGCCTGGAGAATTTTGGTGGTGTCTGAATCTTGGTAATGGCAGCATATGTTGCTTGGGTGGAAGGCTTCTGCTGTTGTTCTAATGTTTTTTTCAGTATTTCACGTCTGATAGGACATTTGGCCGCCAATGTGTGGTGGTCATTTTTGCAGTTGAGGCATTTGGGTGGAGTGGTGGATGTGCATGATTTGAAATCGTGCCCTTCTGTGCCACAGGTAGCACAGAGCTTCTTGTCTTTGGTGGGGCAGTTCTTCGTGGTGTGCTGGTAGGAGCAGCAGTTGTAACACTGAGGTATATACTTGAATTTTTCTGTTTCAATAAATGCTGGATGGATGTGGAAGTAGAAGATTATTATTATTATTATAATCAAGGGGAAGTTTACCTGGAGTTTACCTGGAGAGAGTTTCGGGGGTCAACGCCCCCGCGGCCCGGTCTGTGACCAGGCCTCCTGGTGGATCAGCGCCTGATCAACCAGGCTGTTGCTGCTGGCTGCACGCAAACCAACGTACGAGCCACAGCCCGGCTGATCAGGAACTGACTTTAGGTGCTTGTCCAGTGCCAGCTTGAAGACTGCCAGGGGTCTGTTGGTAATCCCCCTTATGTGTGCTGGGAGGCAGTTGAACAGTCTCGGGCCCCTGACACTTATTGTATGGTCTCTTAACGTGCTAGTGACACCCCTGCTTTTCATTGGGGGGATGGTGCATCGTCTGCCAAGTCTTTTGCTTTCGTAGTGAGTGATTTTCGTGTGCAAGTTCGGTACTAGTCCCTCTAGGATTTTCCAGGTGTATATAATCATGTATCTCTCCCTCCTGCGTTCCAGGGAATACAGGTTTAGAAACCTCAAGCGCTCCCAGTAATTGAGGTGTTTTATCTCCATTATGCGCGCCGTGAAAGTTCTCTGTACATTTTCTAGGTCGGCAATTTCACCTGCCTTGAAAGGTGCTGTTAGAGTGCAGCAATATTCCAGCCTAGATAGAACAAGTGACCTGAAGAGTGTCATCATGGGCTTGGCCTCCCTAAACCCATAGGATTATACAGCGCCTGGGGGGGGATGTGGAAGGCATTCAGGCTTAATTCGGGGAACTGGAGCACAGATCCAATTCCCTAAATCAAGAGCCCCTCACCAACATCAAGGAACCTTCCCTGAGGGGGGAAGTAGAAGATAGCCAGTCCCTCCTCGAGAGCTCTGGTTGCCATGCCGACGTCGCTGAAGGTGATCTTCAGCATGGAGGAAGCACTGAGAGTTCTAGTGATATGTTCTATATTGGCCCAGGTGTTTTGGTCTTCGATTGATGATTTGGTTTCTGAGATGTCTTGGGTTGTGATGAGTTTGTCGAGCTTCTTGATTATTATTATTACAATCAAGGGGGAAGCGCTAAACCCGGAGGATTATACAGCGCCTGGGGGGGTATGTGGAAGGCATTCAGGCTTAATTTGGGGAACTGGAGCACAGATCCAATTCCCCAAATCAAGAGCCCCTCACCAACATCAAGGAACCTTCCTTGAGGGGTCGAGCTTCTTGAGAAACACTGTTCTCTTGGCTTTCAGGGCTGGGAATGTCAAGACTTGAAATCCTCATTCATCGAGAGTGGAGATAGCTTCGGTAGTGATTAGTTTTTCGGCCTCGAAGTCGTCTGTGCAGATGACCACGAAAGCTTCTTTGAGAGAAAGAATTGTGTTGCACATGACTCGCAGGGTACCGCTGACGGCAGCTGCGAGGGCCAGCTTGGTCGAATCACTGACAGTCCCATTTGCAGGTTTGATCTTCACACGGTTGGAAAGGTACATTGTGGAGGATAAGTAGTGTTCCCCTCCCCGACGGGGATCGTAGGCGCACGAGCAGAGCTTCTCTCTTGCTTCTCTTTCACTTTTAAATATATTTTAGACCAATAGCAGCACATTAATTACGTATTTACATTATAAAAATTATACAATATAATTTTGGGAAAACTAAACAATATTTTCCACATAGATTATCATACATTGCAGCGCATGTGTAGAGCACCTAGGATGATAAATTATACACATGTGCAACACTTGGTATCTTTATTGAGGTAACGCTTCGCCACACAGTGGCTTCATCAGTCCATACAAAGGAAAACGTTGAAGAACAGTAAGAGTTTGAAGTAATCAGTTCCTCAGCCTTGAGTCGATGTGGTCAGTCCATCAATCTTGAAAAGAATACAGCATATGTGCGAAGAAGTAGCCTATATACTGTAGGCAGGCGAGGTGCAGCAGTCGTAGGTGGTATCACATTTGTCGAGTGTGGAAGTAGGTCATGACCAAAGGTTAGGCAAGTGAAGAATTCCCTGTATTAAGATACCAATATGTTGCTGTGTCACACAGGAATGTAGATGAATGGTTCAGAGAACCGACAAGTTGATAATTTATCAACTTGTCGGTTCTCTGAACCATTCATCTATAGAACCTAGGATAACCCAAAAAAAGTCAGTGACTTATTTCCAGACAAACACTATACTTTACACCTACCAGTTACTCAAAAAACTCCTAAATGATTTATAGTTGCTCAGCTATTTAATCATTACTTCATTGACCCTTGTAGGTTTAGCTCTTCTTTTTTTATTACAATAATAATAATTATTAATTTCCGACTTAAAACTGTTTCAATTTCATTATTGTAAATTGTGCTCCCCTCAAGGAAGGTTCCTTGATGGTGATGGGCTCTTGATTTAGGGAATTGGATCTGTGCTCCAGTTCCCCGAATTAAGCCTGAATACCTTCCACATCCCCCTCCCCCCAGGTGCTTTATAATCCTACGGGTTTAGCGCTTCCCCCTTGATTATAATAATAATAATGTAAATTGTGCTAAATTGCAATACTGTAATTTTTTATGTACCTCATCTCAGCTGTAAATTTAGTTACTGTAAACAACTAGTTACCTCTACTGTAATAAGAAAAAGATGGTATAATAAAAATTTACCCCTCTCAAAATCACTAGTGTGTAAGCAGTAGGTTTAGTCTGCCCGAAATACCCCGGCATAATAGTGGTTGTACTTAAATCGAAATTGCAATCACTCATTGTAAACATTGGAAAGAAATAAAATCCTATAACTTATCTTTTATTGCTCAATAAGTTAGTGTAATATGTTTATTATGCACCCCATACCCCATACATAGAACACTTAAGTCGGATATAAACCCTCCCCTCAAACGTCTCCTGATCAACCTCAACAGGGGGCGGGGATGGCAGACCAGAGAGGCCTAGCTTGTGGCTAGGCCTGGGGACAGTTGGTCCCAAAGATGAGGAGGTGCTTGTGCCTCCTCCCATGGGAGACTTAGGTCTCAGACACTCCCTAAAGAGGGAGCCAAGGCCGGGCCACCACTTGGACAAGGCCCGGGCCGGGAGAATACCGGCTAATCTTTAACTAACTAACCTCAACAGAACACATGACCATAACACAAGGCACAGATCACTCTTTGATGTTCCTCGTGTCCATCTCACACTATGCAAAAACTCAATGCACATAAAAGGCCCAAAAATCTGGAATTCATTACCTGTGAATATAAAAGAAACGCTGTCTGTTTATAAATTCAAGTCTCTTCTTAAAAATCACTTACTCGCCCACAACTAAATAAATACTGAATAATTGTATCTCATAAATGTTTAACCTGTGACCCAAAGAGAATACTCCATTCTACTGAATGCTCAGCAACACAGTAAGTGACCATATGACCTGTCTTTGAAATCCTCATTTGTGCTTAATTGTTATCTGTTTACAATAATGTTTACCACTGAATATATCATTGCTTAGTTACCCCTCAAGGAAGGTTCCTTGATGTTGGTGAGGGGCTCTTGATTTAGGGAATTGGATCTGTGCTCCAGTTCCCCGAATTAAGCCTGAATGCCTTCCACATCCCCCCCCCCAGGCGCTGTATAATCCTCCGGGTTTAGCGCTTCCCCTTAATTATAATAATAATAATTGCTTAGTTAATCTTATAAATAAATAAATAAATAAATACCTATCCTGTGGGCGGTAGTCAAACGATTACAGAGGTACATAATGGGTCCAGGGACTGGACCCAAAGTTTTGATAGCTGAACAAGTTACAAAGGTAATGAATCATGTAAGTTAATTTACTTAGGTTTCTACATATCGCTCAATAAGACATTAGCTTTGGTAACCCTCAAAACCCTCAACAACAACGTAATCTTTCAGAAACCTCAAAGTTATCTTGGACGACACTGCACGGAGATTAAATTGAGAACTGTGTCATCATGGTGTGTGAAAAGTGCCAGAAGAAGCTGGGCAGTGTAAGTATTGCCTATAATACTGTCCCCATCATGCTGTGTGTACATGAACTATTCCAAGGACCACGATGGAAATAAGTCTCTCTTGGGTTATCCTTGGTAATTTACACTTATGTTGCTATGTATGATAATTTATGTAACTATTTATGTGTACCTGTACCAGAATAAACTTTCTTATCTGTAATAAATAAAAGTAATTTGTGTTATTATTTGTATATTACATATCTGGTAGTTATTTTAGATATGAAGATAGGACGTTCCATAGAGATTAAGATTAGAGGAGTACTGCAGTAGGCCTAATGGCCCATGTTTAGCAGGTTAAGAATGTGGTAAACGACACATGTACAATTTTAGACATTTATTATAGGAAACATTTTGCCCTGAATGGCTAAGCCTGAAGAAGTCATTCATGGTGAAACATTTTCTCTAATCAATGTCCTGTGCGGCAAATAATTCTCTTTCCACATCTTGTTTTATCACCATACTTTTTTTCAGGTTAGGCATGTGAGGAGAATTTATAGTGAAGATTGTAGTAAACAAAAAAAAATGCCAGGTTCAAGTTCCTCCATAGACAGCCACAGTGCTAACAGGTTTGCAGGACCCTATGTCTATCATAAACAATATCACATAAATTATTCTTGTGCTTAGTGACACCCTGCTCTAATAGAAAAACCTTGAAGATAGACTACAAATCACCCAGAACAAAATGGTGACATTCATCCTGGACCTGAGTCTGAGAGAGCATGTTGGCTGGATCTTGAAATCAGAATAAGTAGGTCCCCTGGCTCAGTTTATAGTGTACTCAGCTCACACATTGAGTGCGCGTGATTCAATCCCAAGTACGAGTGGAAACATTGGGCATGTTCCCTTAACTTCCTGCCCCTGTTCACCTAGTAGTAAGTAGGTACCTGGCTGTTAGTCGACTGGTGTGGGTCGCATCCTGGGGGCTGGTAGTATACCTTAGATATGGCTGGGGTTTGAAATGAGTGGAGGTAGGGTAACAGCTCCTAGCATGTAAAATTGATTTGTGCAAAAAAAAAAGCAGTGTCCAGAAAGTTTTTTTTTTTATTTTTGGTCGGCTGATTCCCACCAAGGTAGAGTGGCCAAAAAAAAAAAACTTTCATCATTCACTCCATCACTGTCTTGCCAGAGGGGTGCTTTACACTACAGTTATAAAACTGCAGCATTAATACCCCTCCTTAAGAGTGTAGACAATGTACTTCCCATTTTCAGGACTCAAGTCCGGCCTGCCGGAATCCCTTCATAAATGTTACTTTGCTCACACTCCAACAGCACGTCAGGTATTAAAAACCATTTATCTCCATTCACTCCTATCAAATATGCTCACGCACGCTTGCTGTAAGTCCAAGCTCCTCGCACACAAAACCTTCTTTACCCCGTCCCTCCAACCCTTCCTAGGCCGACCCCTACCCCGCCTTCCCTCCACTACAGATTTATACACTCGAAGTCATTCTGTTTTGTTTCATTCTCTCTACATGTTCGAACCACCTCAACAACCCCTCCTCAGCCCTCTGGATAATAGTTTTGGTAATCCCACACCTTCTCCTAATGTCCAGACTATGAATTCTCTGTATATTCACACCACAAATTGCCCTCAGGCATGACATCTCCACTGCCTCCAGCCTTCTCCTCATTGCAACATTCATCACCCATGCTTCACACCCATACAAGAGTGTTGGTACAACTATACTCTCATACATTCCCCTCTTTGCTTCCACGGACAAAGTTCTTTGTCTCCACAGACTCCTAAGTGCACCACTCACCCTTTTCTCCTCATCAATTATATCTGAATACATTCACCTCCTCCATACTCTCTCCCTCCAGAATGTCTTGTGGCAAATTTTGTTAGAAATTCCCATTAATTCCCTCATATCCTTCAGTGCTTTGCTTCCTGTGTACACACTCAGATCCAATACCAGGCTGGTTTCACAATCACACAACACAAACTTGATACCAAAGCATTTCCTCTTGCTTGGTATATACTGCTTGAACAACAGGCTACCTTAAAACAGGATCAAAGATTCATTGATGACAAAGTGCCTGAAGGGAACTTTTGTTTGAGATACATAAAAACACCCCTTGTCTTATATAACATATCACTTCTATCATGCCTCATCTTGTCTGAGAAATGTAGCATATGTAACAGCAGGATAAATCTATTTATGGTGATGAAATCACTGAACACCAGAGTAAATATAAGGCACTCAGTCAATCAGTACAATGCAATATTGTGCATAAGCATGACTCTGGCAAAGAAGAGACAAGATTTCAACCAAAGTTGTCTTTACATTGGTGTATCTGTGATCATGGCAAAAGCAACGTGCTTGCCATTGCATACTCTGTTTTTTTCCCCTCACAATCATTCACAAAAGGGGTTCATCGAAATATACATCAACGAATTCAAGTTCCTGGGCTTTGTTCCTGAAGGTGCAGTTGGGCTGGATTTCACTTCAAGTCTTCAAATTGATGGAGATTGGGCACAAAATGTGCAGCCTCCTGCCAATCCCAGACATGGTCTGGCTGTGTGTAGATAGTGAATACAGCCTTAGGTCATTGGGGTGTGATGTATGAGACACAGCTCCCAGCCAGGGCTGGCACTGGTGCCACCTGCCTCCCTGTCTCACCAGCCACTGCCAAATGTGGTGCCAGCACTGCTTGTGGACTACTACCTAAGTCAATGGATACACCATCATCCTCACTATCACTATGATGCACTATCCCATGATGACCTGCATGGACTTACTTGCCTCTACATTATTTTTCCCAAGTGTTAAGTGGTGGTAGGTGACACTAACAATTAAGCTCAAACCTAAAATAGTGGCTATTGGCACATCCGAGAGCATAACAATATTCGTGCATAGCATACATCAGACACTATTTGGTCTCCTGATGCATGCCATGTCACAAACTGTACAGTTTAAGGGATAAATCATGACTGGTGGCACCTGATGGTTTTAATATGAGTGGTGAGGGTTGGTGTGGCCCTAATAAGCCAAGGCAGATGGCTCTGGTCATTAAGCTGAGGTGGATAGTTGTGGTTTTCAGGCTGAGGTGGATGCTTGTTGTTGTTGCACTGATGTCAATGCAGAGTTATCACTTCATTCATTCATTCATTAGAGATTTGCCGGTACTTCCAGCCCGGGTCTTCTCCAGATGGTCACCCGGCGGTGGCCCCCGGGGCGGGGGTGTCATTCGTCTTCTTCATTCTTCTATCTTCACTCTTGGGCCCTCCGGTTGGAGGGTAACTTCTTCTTCTATCTTGCACTGACTCCCCCAGTGGGGAGTGTCTTCTCGCTTGGGATCTTCAGTGTCACAGTTGGGCAGAGGCAGAAAGCAGGGTCCCATTGGAGCCACACCCCAGCTTTAGCAGACAGCAAAGTGCTGGGGAAACTTGTCTTGATGGTAGTGCTAGAGGGGGGTACCCTCTGCACCAGTCTGATTCGGAGGTATCAGCCTGTTCTTCAGTGCTTCGTGGTCGATTCCAGCGTTGCTGAGGGCGGTGTAGATACGGTTGGCAAAGCATTCCAAGTTGGGTGACAAAATGTCGTTGATGTCTTGCTCACATTCTGGAGTTCGCATTGAGTGCTTCTTCTGTTTGGTTGTGCAGTGTCCACCACCACTCTTACCCTTGGCTTCTTGTTGCCGTGGGGGATTGGTGGTGGCCTAGGGAGCTGCAGCTCTTAGTTCTTGAGTTTTGGCAGTCTTGACCTTGGCTCCTTGTTGTGGTGGAGCAGTAGTAGCGGTATGGGTAGTTGCAGCCCTTGGTTCTTGAGTTTTAGCTTTCTTGGCTGGCGGTTGAAGTGTCCGAGGCAAGGCCTCGGCTTGGATAGTTGCGGTGGCGGTGGAGGCAGGCAGTGGTGGACTCTCATTGGTGGGATTTGCCGACGTATCAGTGGTCTCAGATTGGTCCATCTCTATGTCGAGTGGAGGTTGTGTCAGTGGTGGAACAGCAGTTATGCTGGCAATATTTGCAGTGGTTTGTAGGATCTTAGTGGAAGGTGGTGATGCAGGGAATGTGAGTCCAGGCATGTTGTTTAGTTTGAATACTTCGTTGATGGTGGTGTTGAAGGAGCCAGGCTCAGCTGCATTCTGTACATGAGCATACATGATGCAACATAGGATCTTGGTGGGATCGGCAGCAGGTGCTGTGAGGAAAGTGGTAGGAGCAGCTTGTGTGGCTTGTAGTATCTTGGTAGTGTCTGCTTGAATCTTGGCAATAGCAGAATATGTGGGTGCGTGTGGTTTGGACTTCTTTTGTTGTTGTTGTTTCTTGAGTATGTCCCTTCTGATAGGACACCTGGCAGCAAGAGTATGGTGGTCATCCTTGCAGTTCAAGCATTTTGGTGGGGAAGCAGTAGTGCAATTCTTGAAGTCATGGCCCTCGAGGCCACAGGTGGAGCAGTAATTCTTGTCTTTGGCAGGGCAGTTTTTGGTGATATGCTGGTATGAGTAACAGTTATAGCACTGTGGGATTTGTTGGTATTTTTCTGCTTCGATGAAGGCTGGATTGATATGGAAGTAGTGTATAGCCAGGCCCTCAGCGAGGGCTCTGGCTGCCATGTTGATGTCACTGAAGGTGACCTTCAGCATGGAGGAGGCGTTGGGTATTTTATTTTATTTATTTTATTATCACACTGGCCGATTCCCACCAAGGCAGGGTGGCCCGAAAAAGAAAAACTTTCACCATCATTCACTTCATCACTGTCTTGCCAGAAGGGTGCTTTACACTACAGTTTTTAAACTGCAACATTAACACCCCTCCTTCAGAGTGCAGGCACTGTACTTCCCATCTCCAGGACTCAAGTCCGGCCTGCCAGTTTCCCTGAACCCCTTCATAAATGTTACTTTGCTCACACTCCAACAGCACGTCAAGTATTAAAAACCATTTGTCTCCATTCACTCCTATCAAACACGCTCACGCATGCCTGCTGGAAGTCCAAGCCCCTCGCACACAAAACCTCCTTTACCCCCTCCAACCTTTC